GGATTTTGCCCTAGGTCTCGGCTCCGTTTTTGTTCTTCTGAATGTATATGATTGCCGTGAAGGGGCAGATTCCTGGCGCCTTCTAGGGTGAGATGGAGGGGTTGTCTTACAACGTAGATTCTTGCAATGAAGCTGCTATTCTTGATCATATGTTAAATTACTAGTAAGCATAGGATTGTGTCATAATGAACAAATACCTGGGCTGGCTGGGCTGACTGGCCTCCTCGAGCGCCGTTGCTACGAGGAGAATCTGTGGCCCGTTATGCATTCACACCAGACGTTCCCCCGACATTGCAGTACTGCATGTTATACGCAAAAGTATAGCACCAGATACTAGCCCCAGGTAGTTATGCCTGTGCAACGGTGTTCAAATGCCGCATCGTCATTTTCAACAGACCGAGTGCAGGGGTCGCCAGTTGACCTTTTCCTTACTCACGCATGACCCTTGGACATTTTGCTGGCCCCGGATGCCGCATTTGTTGGTCTACTACCGACATGCTTCAGCAAAGACTGAGAACAAATGACAAATTGTATCTGTGTAGGTCATCAGCACGGACGATGTAAATGTAGCTGTTGAAAATATTGACTCCCATGTACATACGCAGTTTGTGGATCAGATGGCACCCAAACTCACACCTCCAAAGAGTTTTCAGGATTCCTTGGACGTGATGGAGTTGGTCCAAGGATTTACGCCCCTGTCATGGCCGTGCTTGATATTGTTGCAGGCTTGTTGTCAACTTGTCCCGTGCAGAGTCAAGTGGCCGTAACACAACCGCACCGTACGGGGGATGATAATGGTGCAGGTATGCATATGACATAATATTGCAGTAATGTCAAGTGGCGGGGCCAGCACTTGAGGTCTTTTGTGTGGATTCTGGACATGACTTGAGAGAGATCCTGGCGCGTAGAATGAAACGTTTGCTGCGTGTGGTAGTAATCTGATGCAACATAATTCGGTGGATATCATCATGGTACCAACAGCTCCCTTCTGGTACCTCAGCTTTGAATTTGATGAAGCTGCGATAATATGCAGGCTACACAAACGGACTGACAATTACCCAGAGTCCTCTTGGACGTCAACTAGTTTAAAAAGAAGCTATCAGCACCTACTAGTACCGCTTCTTCCCGTGATATCACATCGCAGCCGAAGGATTTCAAAAGCTGTACTATATACACTGTGAACATGGCATTTGAAAGCTTCAGGTCAATGTGATGAATCATATCAAGGGCGATAGATGCTTTCCCCCCGCTGGTCAAGACCTTTGCTGGCAAGGGAGGCTGCATGGCGCATTGCAAGTTGTGCAACGTGGCTTGTGCCGATATCAAATGATCAACCCGCTTTAAGAAGCTCCGAAAGTATACAACTTACCTACTGCTATGCCAAGCGTAACACTGATGTGAAGTCAGACATGACAAATCTGGGAATCGGAATGACCTCCACACACGCCTTTGACACCCACCAATCTTGTGCGGAACACCAATCTCATTACCAGTTGGGTCTGTAGGGTATCGACGACGCAGAGGGCTGCAAGTTAGGGAATATGACGCAGTTTGTATTACAATTCATCCGAGGACGTAACCTGCAGGTGCTATGCATGTTCCATTTCCGGCCATGCATGACTACTACTGCTGTTGCTCGGACTCGATGCTATCAAGAGAGTTCTTGTGTGTGTTCCCGATCCACATGGATTCTCATGGGCCTGATCCAATGGCAATTCTGTTAGTCTGAATGAATCCAAGTAGTCATCCCAGTGCTCACAGTTTGTAATACTGGTCACTGCCTGCAGCATATAAACTTCCTGATATGCCCCCTTTGAGTTCAAATTATCGCCCTCTATCACGTTCGCAAGCATATTTCTACCAACGGCAGACACAGTTTTAAAACCAACTATTCTATATTCCAGTAACCATCACTCCCTTGAGTTGGCGCAGTACTCTACGTGCTCAAAGCCAAGATGAGAATCGCAAGCATAGCCCTTACTTTTGGTGCCATCCACCTGGCCCCTATCCAATGCAGTCCCATAGCGCAAACCGGCGATCAACCAGGTCCTGAGGCTGAGGCTGAGGCTGCTCTATCCAAGGTCATCACAGGCTTGTTCGCCACCGGCTCTTCCCTGGCCGCAGTTTCCATCCACGACATCAACGGCGCTGAATCATGGAGGTGGACTCCCGACGACGCCCACAGGCAGAATATCCCCGGAGATCTCCTCAACTGCATCAAGAGAAACTATGCGGTCCCAGAAGCCAAGTGGGCCAATGGCGGCAAGAGCGTCCTCACAGTCTTTAACGGCGCTGCTCTCATCATCAACCACCTTCCTGGAAGCCCTCATGATAAGAAAATCACGTTTGGCACCTGCATCAACCGGGGCACGTTGGGCAACACGCATAGCCTCGAGCTCGTGCCCGATAACAAAATAGCCATAGCCACTGCCTCGGACATTTACACGGAAAACATCCAAATCTTTGACATTGGCCGCGGCTTGCAGGCCAATGCAAACCCGGTCGAGAAACTCGACTCTACACCCGCCGTCCACGGCCTCGTCTGGGACAAACAAGCCAATCTCCTATGGGCGGTAGGCAACAACCGCCCACCGGCTGGCAAGACGCCGTCCAGCAGCGCTCTAAATGCCTACGCATACAAGGGAGGCAAGTTTACCCAAAAGCCTGTTCATGAGTACAAGGTTGGCAATCCTATACTCCTCACGACGGAATGGGCCAACTCGCAGTATAGCGGCTGGTGGGACGGAGGGCACGACTTGATTGGTGTGCCTAATAAGCGCCAGCTCCTTCTCTCTACTGATACAGACCTGCACGTCTTTGATATCCCGTCGCAAAAGTTTCGGGGCGGCGAGGCCGTGGCGAAGGAGTTCCTGCCGGGCTTCCAGCCAGTCGATAGACGTGTTGGGTCAGACGGCAAGTGGCTTCCTCGGTCTGATGTCAAGTGTCTCAGCCTGGATGGTCGGGGTAATGCGCTTTATATCCAGGCGGGATGGAGGGATGTCACCTCGCACCAAATTAATTTCCTGAAGCACGGGAAGCTCCAGTCGCCTCAGCGGTATTCTGCAGCGGTGTATAAGTCACGCTGGTTCCAGGGCACTCAAGGCTGGCCCTCGGCAGGGAGCCACTAGTGGTGTAAGGCAGAAAGGATCTTTGTCCTATTTTGCGAACAAGGCAGAGGACAAGAGGTCTCGGAGATTGAGGGACGACGTGCCGTTGCTGGGAATCATGCAATGACGAACATTCCCCACGGTACACGGGCATACGGCAGTCACATGCAATCATCTGATAGCATATAGCATTTTTGTATCTCAGCTATAAGAGTATGCTGGTCAATTTCAATCATTGTTTATTTGATTAGCAAAGAGGACCTGTCTTCCGGCTATTGGAATTTCAGCATCTATATAACCCCATAATGGTATTAAAATCCTTGTCTTGCAACAGTTCCGCGGCAGTTGAATGATTTTCAAGCAAATATATAAATCCCTTCAATCAGATTGAGACTATAAGCTTCAGCCTGGAGTCTATAGTCCCAGGTCGCGCCCGTTTGCTGATTTCCTGTAATTCCGTTGGCATTGCTTCGATTCGATACATGAAAGTTTCAGGGCGGCTCAACAGACCGATGTCCGACAACCAATTCCGCGTCTACACTGCGAAACACCAACAACATCAATTTAAAGAGCATGAAAAGCGTGATGCCATTGTTGTTTCAACAGAAGTTTACCCTTTGGGTACCTGGGGTTCGTTCTCCTCTTGCCGCCCGTGCGAGCATTTCTCGTCACAATCTCAGGGAATCCCCTAACATGGTGCTGAAACATTCAAAGTACTGCTATGAAAAGTTGTTTGTCCTAGTCAACCTTCGATTAACAGGTCTTTTCGGCGTGGTATACACCGCACAGGCATCGCCTAGAGCACAAGTCTGCTAGGCGTCCTGTCGAATATAAGACTGGAACATCTAACTGGATGAAGAGGGATACGACAAGACCATTCTGATTTCCGGGAAATTCTTTTTATTAGGCCTAAATCTTATTTGTAATCATTATGCGTTTCTACGTCATCCCACACAAAATGTTTCAAGGCTGCCGATGCACGCGACCTGATGGTGTCCCGTTTTATGACTTGTGCTTGGGGTTCGAGCGAGGCACGAAGAATCAGTGTGTGCCTCTCATAACAGACACATCCAAATGCAAACTTTTTTACCAAAAATGCCCGCATGTTTTCGACCAGTAAGTTTAGAAGAAGAGCCGAGCAGCCGTCTGCGCCAATGTGCTCATATTTGAAAAGTGACTTACGATTGAAAAATGCATTGTGACCAACGACCCAAAGTCTGAACATGCGAGGATGTCAACGGGTACTTCATCCAAAGGTACAAGTTATCGGATGAGTCATCTGACAGGGCCTCATCCTCTAGAAGTTTCGAACTAAGTTATAGGGCTGGGGTTGGAAGCTAGCTAGCAAAACCTACTAGCTACAAACTTTCTGTCTAATTCAATAGCGGCTTTTTGAGGCCTTCTGATTTTGAGAGGGCCTTGATTTTTTTGATAGATAAATTCAATTAAGAGCCAAGTTCTACTGGCTTCTATTTTGATAAACTATCAACCTTTCTAAATAGGCTAGCAGAGACTGAATGTGAGGAAACCTGCTCTAAAACTTACTAATTGCATGTAAGCTCCAAGCTTAATTACCTATTTTTCACAAATTTAACTCTATTAGAAAGGGTCTAAGAAAGTTTATTAGCTCTTTTTTAACCTTAACATATTACTTATTTGAACCCGCTAGCGCAAAGACCCTCGTCTCTGCGAGTATGTCCGTATATATATACTATGCCTTGTCCTTTACACATTAGGTTGTTTGTATCTGTGTACACATCTCAACTCTACACTTTGTCCAATTTCCCCATTTTTTCTCACTCTTCTGACTACTATCGTCATTACATCAAGAACACTACACCGCCGCCTTGTTCAATATCCGACCTGCATATTATCAGCATACATATTTTTAACATGGAGACTGCCACTTCGAGTCCAATTTTTTCTCCGCTCGATGCGGCCGACTTAGAACTCAGTGGCCTGCTTGGACCCGTGGAAGAAACAGGACAACGACAATGTCACAAGCGTCGTCTTCATTCTTGGGGTGATATATTTTACAAGGAAATTCCCCTTGACATAGCCATGGGCTCTCCAGAAGCCGCTGCTGCCAAGGCATTTGTCACCATACCAAGCGCCCTTATATCGCGTGCAACATTGTGTTACCTGGGCTTCTCTGAGCTCAAGGTCGACGAGATGTGGAACGAATGGTCTAACTGGCCTGGCCGCGAGATTAATATCAACACTGGCGATCTCCAAGGCACCTTTCTTGCCTTCATTCTTGGCCATGTGAAGAAGGAAAACGCTTATACAGACGACGATTCGGAGTGGCGCCGGTGCCTTGACGAATGCGGTGTAAGCCCTTCAGAACAAGAAAAGCTTATGGATCCAGACTTTAAGGAAATACGTTTAAGTAGATCATGTGTTTATTGGGTTACTGATACTATTGAGATGCGATATGCTGGCCTTCAAGACTTTCAACGAGCCTCTCGTCAGCGAGAGTTGCAACTTGAACGCGAGCGAGTATAAATACGCTCAGATTACTGGGTTAAAAGGGTGCACATGTCATGCCTAGAGGTCAAAGAGTCACTACATGTATAGTTGCTTTTTCTGGGACTCAAATTAGAGCTTGATTGAGGGTTATCGCAGAGGTCTTCAGGGGCTCCAACAGGGTATAAAAGGGGTCAAGTCGGTCTGGTCAATGTCCTGGGTTATCAGGGCTTTTAACCCGGTTTTGGAGTCATAATTAATATCATACCTGTTCTCAGTTATGTCCCGAGGTACTACTGTGATGCTTTCTCTGGCTGGTCAGATTCCAAGACGAATGAACCAACATGTGTACAGAGTACCTGCCGCTTATGTAATCACAAGTCCCCCGTTCACCTCGCGTCTTCCCTCCTTGCACATTCTACCACATTGCCTGCTACCTGCAACATGACGCGCCGAGTTGATTTCATGCAGTCGTTCCAAGCACTTTCGTTCCGTAAAGCGAAACCAGAAAGATGAAAAGAATCTTGTCGCGGGCCAGAAATTTCCTGAAGAACTCTAGACTACTAAAAGTGCGCCCAATCAAATCTACAGTCGCGAATAACAGAAGCCGCAAAATGAGTCAACTGACGCCAACGAGCGAGCACAACCCGACAGACTTCAATCTCAGTCGCCTGCTGCAATCTCAACTCTAGAAGGCTTACCGCCTGAGGTCCATCGCTTGCTATTGTCCATGCTTGGCATCGATGAAATGCGCGCTCTTGTGTCGTCGAGCCCCGTCATTCACGCCAGGTATCTTGTTGACCGCAGATATTTACTCTGCAGATCGCTGGATAATACGTTAGGATGCGTCTTTATAGACGCCTTGGCCGTATTCCGGTCGAGCTCTGCCGACTTTGCTAAATTACGCACGCGTGAGAACGTCACTGGCTTTCTGAAGCTCTACCAGGATCAACGAGGTGCCACCGAGCAACCATTACTCCCACGAGACGTTGGCGAAGATGAAGCAGTCGGTGTGGTCATGTTTCATAACTCCATTGTTCAGCCTCTCGCTCGGTATTACTTTTCGTGGTCATTGGGAAATCTCGCACGTGAACAAGGAGCTTTGCAAAGCCATGAGCCGCCGAGTCGCACAGAGGAGACGCGATTGGTGCGTGCCATGTATCGATTTCAATTGTCCTGCAACCTGTTTGGCAGAGGCAAACATGCTCCAACGCTGAGCCCGCCACTGGGGTTTGAGTCTGCTGACATCTTGCGACTCTTTCTCTGTTTATTTGAACCCTGGGAGGTTGAGGAGATTGCTTGCATCAACACCTTTGCAACAGAAAAATATGACCGAGTTTTCAGCGATATCCGCTGGGACGTACATGAGGAGAATCCCAAGTTCGACGGCCAGCGACCGCCAACCCCAGACGGCGCTTTTGACTTTGACAACAGCTGTGAGTACTCTGCCGCCTATACTTATAGGTAGGAATACTACTAACGGTGAGTGCGGGAACAGGGACCAGATTATCCCTCTTGAGAGGAACAATCTCCCGCGGTCTCGAGTTGCTGCATTCCGTTATTTTTAAAGTCAAGGATCACGAGCATCTAGTGTCGATGATGCAAGAGGAGATTTCATTTCCGTTGGGCAACGTGCTCGACGATGCGTTCAGCGAGGGCGCGCAGTTCCATAGGCGCCGCAATCATCCGTCGAAACGGGATCTCAAGCAAACCCGGCGTGAGCCATTACCGTTCACGCGTGAAACCAATGACAGTGATCTACTACCACCATTAGGATGGACAATTATATGGCACGGAACCTACAGTAACTTGTATGGATACTATGTCCAAGACTCCATACGCCGCTGGGGCTACGTTATTTGGGATGCAGTGAGGCTGGAGCGAACCAACGCAACGGAAGTGTTGGCACAACAATGGAGAGATGATTGGGGCGATAGCGATCCGAGGAATAATCTTCTGTAGGCATGCAATCATGGGCTGACCGGACAAGTTCATTTGTGCGGGCAAGGTTTCCATCTGAAGCAACAATACAGCGCAAATTCACAATCATTGGGGCACTAGCCGCCCGCTCGAAGTTCACGATTTGCCTCGACAAACTGCTCATCTTGTCGGCCAACCTGTCGATAACTTGCGCAGCCTCGACCAGGGCTGCATTGGTGCTGGCGGACCGACCGACCCAACGCCGACCCAGGCACGCGTTCAATCAGGGGCGGCAAGTGCTTGGAATCGCACATAGCACATGAATTTGCAAGAGCAGTTCGGGTGACCGCCAAGGGTGCAGGTTACATACATAGGGAACGAGGCCAGGCCAGCTATGAAGTCGCCATGCCTCATCTCAAACGCGGATAGTTCCATACAGGCCCTTCTTTCTGTTCATGTATGCGATCATGCATGTCACCGCTGGCGTTGGGTCTACAGTTGACAGCAGGGACTGTACCGGAAATTATTGGCCTTGACTACACTACCGTATCTGCTAATAATGACTGGCATCTCCATGACGTTCGAGTTTTGATAAGCTTAGGCTTACTAGTCATGACCTGCCTACATTCAATTGCCAGCTCCATCGCCAACATCATGGGCAATAACCAATTTCGCCGTTGGAGGCTTGCGGCAGTTTACCGCTTCCACGGTCACCACTGTTCATGATCACTTTACCGGTAGGATCCGTGACCATCATGAAGACGGAAAATGCTCCTCCACCCTGGATATTCGCGACTCTTATGGGAATCCGCTTGCGAACGTCCTCGGCCTTGACATGATATTCGAAATATTTCTTGCCAAAAACGTCAAGGAAAGCATAGTCAACTTTTAAATCGGCATTCGTTTCAGAAAAGTCTGCAATTGCCTTGTTACCAACCCACAAAAAGGCCACATCATCCACCCACCACACGTCGAAACGGTAACTTCCTTCTCGACTGGGCACAAGATAACTGGTCCAAAACATCAAAAAGTATCCCCTTGGGCCTGTGTCGGCTGGGGGATAGATAGAGCCCACCCCTTCGACGTAGCCGCTATCCCAACCAATCTTATCAACTTGCCCTGTATACCGGGCATTGGGGGTGGCAGCGAGGACCATGTCAATACTGTGCGCTGGGAGCAGAGGCTGAGCCGAGGTGTAGGAAATATGGCCAGGACCGCTTCCCGGCTGGAATTTGTACAGATTCCACTGAGCACCGCTTTTCAAGTTTGTACACCGGCTGCCGGGCATGTCTGGTGTAAAGGCTCTCTTCACTGGAACATGCCGGAAGACGGAGCCAAACTTGACGTCTTTGCAGTAAGCAATTTGGCCGTCAGACTCGCGCAGAGCACCACCTTCGCCACAAGTGTTCATGACCGCTTGACCCGTGGGATCTGTGACATCAAAGCACAGCGAATAGGGTCCCGCAGCCTGTACATTAATGACTCTGATGGGAACTGGCTTTCCTTGTTCGGCAGAATACGAAAAGCGTTTCTTGCCAAACGTGTCGATTGAAGCGTAGTCTACCTTCAAATCTGCGTTGGACTCTGAGAATTCGGACCTCGCGTGCTCCCCAACCCAGAGATAAGACACGTCATCGGTCCACCACATGTTGAACGTGTAGCTTCCTGTATGCTTGGGGACCAGGTAGCCAGTCCACGACATGAAGAAGTAATCTTGGGGAATCGGTTGGAGAACTTGGTTGGTTATCCATGCAATGCCGTTGCGCCAGCCGATGCTGCCGATGCTGCCGCTCGTCGGCTGAACCGGTGTTCCGCCAAAGAGAGTATCGATATTGAACTGCGGGAGAAATGGCGCTGGTTCCGGGTAAGGAATTTGACCGAGACCGTTTCCTATCGACATGCGATACGCATCCCACTGCACGCCGGCCAATGGGTTCTCGCAAATGTCTTGGACGCAACTATTCCCAGCCACCCTCCAGCCCTTTGGACACTTGTCACGGCACTGCTTGGTAGTCGGTATGCACTCATCCCGAGCCGGGCACCACCACTGGCCGTCTGCGCAGCCGCAGCTCTCGCTGACAGGCTTACAGATGCCGCCCTCACATTCGTGGTAGTTGGGGTTGCCGGGGTAGGAGAATGTCACAGGCCCGACGACTGGATAACTTCTAGGCCCTCGCTGACGGAACAAGTAGGCGTCGTACTGGCCTGCAGGCAGGCATTGGTCAAAGTCTGCATCGGCAGTAACACGGCCCTTGGATGCTGGTGCAGACGCCCATCCCAAGTACTTGTCATCACCCCCCGTGTCAGGGCCCATTCCCTTCTCGAAAAGACCGATCCAGTTGCCGGATTGGGCATCATCGGTCGTGTATGTAAACTCTGGCGGCGCCGAGTCCCGTACATAGGCCAGCGTGCCTCTGGACTGCGGTGCTGCCAGAAGATTGATCTGTGCGACGGAAGAGCCAGCGCTTACTTCCTGGGAGAGAAGTCCCAAAAGGGAGACGGTTACCACTCCCAGAGACCTCATTGTGCTGAAACCTTGGAGAGTTGGAAGTGGTGGAATATTGGGGGGCTTGCCAGAATGTAGAAACATACGACACCTTCCGGCTGTGATGCAAAGACGAAAGGTATATGGAATATGCGGAGAGAAGCACCAGTTTTTATGTCTCTCCTGTTCCGCAGTCCCGTTTGAAAAAAGCCTCGATGATGTGTGGTGTTGTCCGCATCCGTCGTGACCGGTTTGACAGCCAAGCGGCATGAGACGGACTCGAGCGGCATGGCTTACGCCCGATCAATATTCGTCACAAGGTCACCACGAGTCAGTTGTCTCGATTCATTCTGCATGTTGTGTTATGATTTCTGATCGTCTTTCAATGTCGAGACTCCTGGCTAACGTTATCACGGCAGGTATGTCTCAGTTGGCTGACTCTTTATTCGCTGCTGTGTTCTCGAGCCACATGCTTGATATTCTGTCGTCCTACTTCACTACATCTACATGCTCCACATATATCCCGTTGCCGTTCGTTCATCCTCCCTTTCCCCGGCTGTTTTACGTAACAGGCGTCCCCTGCCGCTGCCTAGTCATGCAGCATGCTTGTCTTGCAGAAACAAATACCCGAGGAGGTACTCCGTACTCGTTGTAGTCGTACTTGAGCTTAAACCCGTGGATAAGTGGCAATTGTTCCAGCCCTCTCGGCTATCCACCCCATCCCAAGCAGCCACAGTAGCGGATTCTCCCGTCGCCATGAATGTTTACGAACTGGCTCCGCGCTTGTGACAGGGGCAATGTGGCTGGGCTTGGAACAAGTCGTTCAATTCAATCTTTAATAAATAACTTAAAGGTATTAAAGGTCCTCGGTTTTCTAAGAGGCCTTGAGGGACCAAAGGTCTATAAATACAAGAGGCCGGCTGTGTTTGAGGCTTGAGGCAGCCCTCGCTTAGGGTCCGGCCTCATGACCCCGTGATACCTTCCTTGTACAAAGCCCGAGAACATCGTCAGTCATAATAGCGTTCGTTATAATAAACCTGAAAAGAATTCAAGGATTCTCTTCAACGAAACAACAAACAGAGCTACATTCCGTCAGTGCTAGGTAATGTTAGGTGCTTTCAACTAAGCCAAATTTCCCACGCCCCTAGATCTTCCTTCTATTACTGCTCAGTTAGCCTCGATCGCGGTGGGGACGCTTATAATTCCCGGCGAGCTGAAATTGCCGTGATCGGTTCCGTGGGGGAGTACACAAGCTGATGGAACCCAGTTCAACTTGACTTTGTAATCCGCTACAAGTGTAACAGAGCCAAGTACAAAAGATTTAAAACTTGAGAGGATATTGCGCGGACACTATTTAACACGGTCCAGCGACAAAACGTACGTGATCATGGCTGTTACGATCCAAGCTCGTCGGCTGTACATGATAAGAGTTGATAGTCCGACCGACGGGACTGCCGAGGAGAATCATTAAAGGCAGTCGTCTTCACCTTGCGGTGCCGTCCGCCATGACGCGGCTCACATGTACAGTCTATAAACATAAACCGCGTCGCAACACCAAGCCGCCGTTGATGATGGATTGCATTGCACCAGACCTGACTATGATACTAGTACCCCAGAATTTGCCGCGGCAAAACTTTTAATAGGAACAAGAATAACTACCTGGGTTGTTAAAAGTCATACGTTGTGGGCTAGATGAAACCTCTACATTTATCCCATCACAGCACGAACGCGCGATAATGAAGCGATATTCATCTTAAATGAAACCCCTTGAAACAAAGTACTTGTAGCCTCGGCTGCCCAAAGAGTATAAAAGATAGTTTATCCGTGGAGGATATACTTTGCCTAGTGCATGTGCATTCCACCGGCTCCACGTCAGTGCGCCTGGCATACATCCAACCGAATAGCCAAGAAGACACCGTCCGAATGGTGTCAAAGCGTCCGGTAGTTTTTTTCGAATAGAGCAGTTGCTAATGTTTCATGTGGTGGCCAAAGGCTCAACAGCACGTGGGAATCGTGGTGGCATTGCGCGTCAATGTACAACACGCAATCGATGGATGAGATGAGATGCCCCCTGCCAAAACAAGACATGTATAAATGTCTCTATGCCCGTTGGTAGTCTCTCAGTGTCTCGGCTAGACAAGACAAAAGCTTGTTTCGTTTCTACAACGGTCACGGTTGCCTCCTCACCACGCTCGCTACTTTTACCTTCACTCGCAGCCTTTTTTCCTCTGGCATATCTATTTAATTCCACAACAAAATTCAAGTCGTTTTTTTTTACCAATATCCAAGATGAGATTTAACGTCAACTCTACTCTGCTTGCCGCCGCTCTGGCTCTCTCCGCTACTCAGACGGGCCTGGCTGCTCCCACGCCGCAGGACTTGAGCAGCATCCCCGTCGTTGGACCTTTGCTTGCCGGAGCGACTGGCGCTGCATCTGGTTCCGGTGCTAGCAATCCCTTGAGCGCCATCCCCGTCGTTGGATCTTTGCTCTCTGGAGGAAGTGGCAGTGCTAATAGTACCGCGGCTACTACCGCCAACCCCTTGGCCGGCCTCTTGT